AAACCTGATTTTTCGAGTATAATTCAGCTTAAAAATGAAAATAAATAACGAATTCAGTCGAAATTTACGATTGCAAAAATTTTCTGAAACAAAAAATTTGAAGAAATCGACGAAAATCAAAATTTTTAAATTTCCTTTAGAAAAAAAACGAGAAAAACGACAATTTTTAAATTTTGAAAAATTTTCAAATTCTTTTAAAAACTTGTTTTTCGTGTATAATTTAGATGAAAAATAAGAAAATTTTATGAATTCAGTCGAAAATCAAGATTTTTAAATTTTCTGTACAAAAAAAAACGAAAAAATCGACCAATTTTTATTTTTCAGAAATTTTTAAAATTGTTTAAAAACTGATTCTTCGAGTATAATTCAGCTTGAAAATGAAAATAAATAACGAATTCAGTCGAAATTTACGATTGCAAAAATTTTCTGAAACAAAAAATTTGAAGAAATCGACGAAAATCAAAATTTTTAAATTTCCTATAGAAAAAAAACGAGAAAAACGACAATTTTTAAATTTTGAAAATTTTCAAATTCTCTTAAAAACTTGTTTTTTGTGTATAATTTAGATGGAAAATAAGAAAATTTTATGAATTCAGTCGAAAATCAAGATTTTTAAATTTTGTGTACAAAAAAAAAACGAAAAAATCGACCAATTTTATTTTTCAGAAATTTTTAAAATTGTTTAAAAACTGATTTTTCGAGTATAATTCAGCTTGAAAATGAAAATAAATAACGAATTCAGTCGAAATTTACGATTGCAAAAATTTTCTAAAACAAAAAATTTGAAGAAATCGACAAAAATCAAAATTTTTAAATTTCCTATAGAAAAAAAACGAGAAAAACGACAATTTTTAAATTTTGAAAAATTTTCAAATTCTTTTAAAACTTGTTTTTCGTGTATAATTTAGATGGAAAATAAGAAAATTTTATGAATTCAGTCGAAAATCAAGATTTTTAAATTTTCTGTACAAAAAAAAAACGAAGAAATCGACCAATTTTTATTTTTCAGAAATTTTTAAAATTGTTTAAAAACTGATTTTTCGAGTATAATTCAGCTTGAAAATGAAAATAAATAACGAATTCAGTCGAAATTTACGATTGCAAAAATTTTCTGAAACAAAAAATTTGAAGAAATCGACGAAAATCAAAATTTTTAAATTTCCTATAGAAAAAAAAACGAGAAAAACGACAATTTTTAAATTTTGAAAAATTTTCAAATTCTTTTAAAAACTTGTTTTTCGTGTATAATTTAGATGAAAAATAAGAAAATTTTATGAATTCAGTCGAAAATCAAGATTTTAAAATTTTCTGTACAAAAAAAAACGAAAAAATCGACCATTTTCTATTTTTCATAAATTTTTAAAATTGTTTAAAAACTGATTTTTCGAGTATAATTCAGCTTGAAAATGAAAATAAATAACGAATTCAGTCGAAATTTACGATTGCAAAAATTTTCTGAAACAAAAAATATGAAGAAATCGACGAAAATCAAAATTTTTAAATTTCCTATAGAAAAAAAACGAGAAAAACAACAATTTTGAAATTTTGAAAAATTTTCAAATTCTTTTAAAAACTTGTTTTTCGTGTATAATTTAGATGGAAAATAAGAAAATTTTATAAATTCAGTCGAAAATCAAGATTTTTAAATTTTCTGTACAAAAAAAAACGAAAAAATCGACCAATTTTTATTTTTCAGAAATTTTTAAAATTGTTTAAAAACTGATTTTTCGAGTATAATTCAGCTTGAAAATGAAAATAAATAACGAATTCAGTCGAAATTTACGATTGCAAAAATTTTCTGAAACAAAAAATTTGAAGAAATCGACGAAAATCAAAATTTTTAAATTTCCTATAGAAAAAAAAACGAGAAAAACGACAATTTTTAAATTTTTTAAAAATTTTCAACTCTTTTAAAAACTTGTTTTTCGTTAATAATTTAGGTGGAAAAAAAGAAAATTTTATGAATTCAGTCGAAAATCAAGATTTTTAAATTTTCTGTACAAAAAAAACGAAAAAATCGACCAATTTTTATTTTTCAGAAATTTTTAAAATTGTTTAAAAACTGATTTTTCGAGTATAATTCAGCTTGAAAATGAAAATAAATAACGAATTCAGTCGAAATTTACGATTGCAAAAAATTTCTGAAACTATAAATTTGAAGAAATCGACGAAAATCAAAATTTTTAAATTTCCTATAGAAAAAAAACGAGAAAAACGACAATTTTTAAATTTTGAAAAATTTTCAAATTCTCTTAAAAACTTGTTTTTCGTGTATAATTTAGATGGAAAAAAAAAATTTTATGAATTCAGTCGAAAATCAAGATTTTTAAATTTTCTGTACAAAAAAAAAAACGAAAAAATTGACCAATTTTTATTTTTCAGAAATTTTTAAAATTGTTTAAAAACTGATTTTTCGAGTATAATTCAGCTTGAAAATGAAAATAAATAACGAATTCAGTCGAAATTTACGATTGCAAAAATTTTCTGAAACAAAAAATTTGAAGAAATCGACGAAAATCAAAATTTTTAAATTTCCTATAGAAAAAAAAACGAGAAAAACGACAATTTTTAAATTTTAAAAAATTTTCAAATTCTTTTAAAAACTTGTTTTTCGTGTATAATTTAGATGGAAAATAAGAAAATTTTATGAATTCAGTCGAAAATCAAGATTTTTAAATTTTCTGTACAAAAAAAAACGAAAAAATCGACCAATTTTTATTTTTCAGAAATTTTTAAAATTGTTTAAAAACTGATTTTTCGAGTATAATTCAGCTTGAAAATGAAAATAAATAACGAATTCAGTCGAAATTTACGATTGCAAAAATTTTCTGAAACAAAAAATTTGAAGAAATCGGCGAAAATCAAAATTTTTAAATTTCCTATAGAAAAAAAACGAGAAAAACGACAATTTTTAAATTTTGAAAAATTTTCAAATTCTCTTAAAAACTTGTTTTTCGTGTATAATTTAAATGGAAAATAAAAAAATTTTATGAATTCAGTCGAAAATCAAGATTTTTAAATTTTCTGTACAAAAAAAAACGAAAAAATCGACCAATTTTTATTTTTCAGAAATTTTTAAAATTGTTTAAAAACTGATTTTTCGAGTATAATTCAGCTTGAAAATGAAAAAAAATAACGAATTCAGTCGAAATTTACGATTGCAAAAATTTTCTGAAACAAAAAATTTGAAGAAATCGACGAAAATCAAAATTTTTAAATTTCCTATAGAAAAAAAAACGAGAAAAACGACATTTTTTAAATTTTGAAAAATTTTCAAATTCTTTTAAAAACTTGTTTTTCGTGTATAATTTAGATGGAAAATAAGAAAATTTTATGAATTCAGTCGAAAATCAAGATTTTAAAATTTTCTGTACAAAAAAAACGAAAAAATCGACCATTTTCTATTTTTCAGAAATTTTTAAAATTGTTTAAAAACTGATTCTTCGAGTATAATTCAGCTTGAAAATGAAAATAAATAACGAATCCAGTCGAAATTTACGATTGCAAAAATTTTCTGAAACAAAAAATTTGAAGAAATCGACGAAAATCAAAATTTTTAAATTTCCTATAGAAAAAAAACGAGAAAAACGACAATTTTTAAATTTTCAAAAATTTTCAAATTCTTTTAAAAACTTGTTTTTCGTGTATAATTTAGATGGAAAATAAGAAAATTTTATGAATTCAGTCGAAAATCAAGATTTTAAAATTTTCTGTACAAAAAAAAAACGAAAAAATCGACCATTTTCTATTTTTCAGAAATTTTTAATATTGTTCAAAAACTGATTCTTCGAGTATAATTCAGCTTGAAAATGAAAATAAATAACGAATTCAGTCGAAATTTACGATTGCAATAATTTTCTGAAACAAAAAATTTGAAGAAATCGACGAAAATCAAAATTTTTAAATTTCCTATAGAAAAAAAACGAGAAAAACGACAATTTTTAAATTTTGAAAAATTTTCAAATTCTCTTAAAAACTTGTTTTTCGTGTATAATTTAGATGGAAAATAAAAAAATTTTATGAATTCAGTCGAAAATCAAGATTTTTAAATTTTCTGTACAAAAAAAAACGAAAAAATCGACCAATTTTTATTTTTCAGAAATTTTTAAAATTGTTTAAAAACTGATTTTTCGAGTATAACAAACAAATATACAAACAAATAAACAATTTTGTTGGGGGGGCTTCTGGACCAACTGGTATTAGTGCGTGTCGGTGTGAGATGTGTGTACGTGTGAGTGCGTGTCTGTGTGAGCACGTGTGGGCCTATTAGAAGGCCTTGAAGTGGGATGAGAATCTTGATTGTAGGTGGTGGTTTAGAGTGGGGCGGGGGTCAGATTTCGGGATATGGGTCAAAATTTAGAGTATGGGGTGGGGGGGGGTCAATGTTAAAAAAATGTGTGTGTATTTGGAAATACTTGTTTCTGTTGTTTGGGAGGGGGCGGAGTGTTGCAGTAATTTATGACCTATTTTTATGACCTATTTTTATGTGACATGTGTTTATTTTACGATGTCAACATTTTTTTTTAAAGTTTAGACGTGATATTTGTCTTAATTGAAAGGAGAAGAGGGAGGGGGTTATGTTTGGTGAAAATTTCGGTTTGAAAATAATTCTGAGAAATATTTTCTGTCATGGGTAATAAATTTTTATAGCTTTTTTCATAAAACATTCAAATTATGATGTTAGTATAAGTAGAAAAAAAATTCGTATAGTCACGTGTCCTTTGTGTGAAAAAGAAGCATTTTGTTAAAGTAGTATAAAGACGTGCAAAACTATTGCCAAAATCTCATTTATATTTGAGACATCAACTTAACTAGTTGAATTTGTATTAAAATAAAAAGATGGAATCAAATCGCTTTAAAACTTTTGTGACTTGTGCTAAAGAAGCTTATCGTCTTATTATATTGAGAGAAGAGGGCCCATGTCCAAGTGAATGTGAAAAATTAATTAAATTAAATAAAAGAAGTATTTATAAAGTTAAGAAATATTTGTGTGATAATAGAGAAAATTTGTCAGTAAATGAGAAACGAAGTGTCATTGCATCGTTAGCACTGTTGAAGGCATTTCAACAGAAATTTCACCATTTATATATAAAAAGTGGTGGTCGTTTATCAGCTGGAAATCAAGAAGAGAATAATCGAATCAGGTGGGAAAACTTGGAAAATGCTTTTGATGGTCGTGTGAAAACAGGTTCGATAGTGAATTTAAGACATAAAGATTTAAATAATTTTTTAGAGGATTCAAAATTATTAACGATTAATAATGTAAAAGAAAGTTTAACAGAGCATGCAAATTTGAAAGTAAATGTTATTTTTTACGGTAGATTTGAAACTTTAAAACAAGGGGAAATGATTGATGAAATAAAGTATTTTAGTACGAGAAATTCAATTATTTTTCCAACAACAGATTTAGATGATTGGTATAAAAATAAAGTCAGATATTGTGTATTGGTAGAAATTGAGAAATTTGAAGAAAAAGAATCGGGTTGGAGTTTGAAAGAAATTATTAATTTAGTTGTAAATATTAATAGATATGATGCATTTCAAGTTGGATATTCCACCTATACGGATTTACCATTAATGATTAGAAATAAAAAAGCTGTAATTAACATTGAGAACAATGACCCTTATTGTTTTCTTTGGTCAATAACAGCTTTTTTATTTCCTGCAAGAGATCACGTAACTCGCACTAGCTCATATCCCCACTACAGTACTATATTAAAATATGATGGTATTGAATTTCCAATTAGTTTTTCTCATATTAAAAAGTTTGAAAAAATGAATAATTTAAAAATAAATATTTATGGATTAGATGACTTTGATAAAAAACATAAATATACTGATATTGTTCCTATTTATGTAAGTAAAGAAAAAGAAAATAATCCTGTAGTACATTTACTAATGATAGAGACTAATGAAATTAATGAAAACGAAAATGATAATTTGAAACCAATATACCATTTTGCTTTAATAAAGAATCTTTCCCGTTTAGTAAGATCACAGGTAACTAAAAAGAAACAAAGTTTGTTATTATGTGATCGCTGCCTTTGTCGTTTTTTTGACAATAACTCATATACAAGACATAGATTAGCGTGTGAGAATACGAATAAGTGTAAAGTAATTTTACCCGATGAGAATAATAATTCTGTCCAATTTAAAAATTATCGTTTTAAAGATAAGGTTCCGTTCGTAATATATGCCGATACAGAATGCCTTTTAGAGCCTATTGCAGAGACAGATGAAAACACATGCAACGTTCAAAGGCACGTGCCTACAAGCGTAGCTTATACCATGCAGTGCAGCTTTGATGAGTCACTCTCACATACAAATCTTTATCGTGGTGAGGACTGTATACAGTGGTTTATTAATGAATTGCAGAATATGGCGAGTAATATAAATAGAGTATTTTTTTCAAATATTGTCCTAATGGAACAATTGACCCAACAACAAATGCAAGACTTTGAAACTGCTAAATTATGTCACATTTGCGAAAAACCATTTGAAATAAATGACATTAAACATCATGATCATTGCCATTTTACAGGCAGATATCGCGGTCCTGCTCATCAAGGCTGCAATGTAAATTTTAAATATTCTCACATTATTCCCGTTGTTTTTCACAATTTATCAGGTTATGATTCACATTTTTTTATAAGAGCTCTTGCAACTGGTTTTGATGGAAATATCAGTTTATTGCCTATAAATAAAGAAAAATACCTTTCATTCACAAAAGATGTGGATAAGACTAAAATTAAATATCGATTTATTGACTCGTTTCGTTTTATGGCAAGTAGTTTAGAGAAATTAGCATCCTATTTAACTGACAATGAAAAAGAAATTACAAAAAAGCATTGTACAGACGATGCACAATTTAAATTGTTGATAAGAAAAGGTGTATTCCCATACGAATACATTGATTCATGGGCACGATTGGATGAAGAATGTCTTCCTCCGAAACAGTCATTTTTTTCAAAATTAAACAATGAAACTATTTCAGACGAAGACTATCTTCATGCTAAAAATGTATGGAAAACATTTAATTTAAAAAATTTAGGAGAGTATTCTGATCTTTATCTTAAAACAGATATTCTTCTTCTTGCCGATATTTTTGAAAATTTTAGAAAAACATGCATTTCCACTTATAAATTAGATCCTTTGCATTACTACACTGCACCGGGACTTGCTTTTGACACCATGTTAAAATTGACAGATATAAAACTTGAACTATTAACAGATCCTGAAATGTTGCTATTTATTGAAGCTGGAATTAGGGGTGGTATATCACAATGTTCAAATAGATATTCAAAAGCTAACAACAGGTATATGGGGGAAAAATATGATAAAAATTTACCAGAAAAATACATTATGTACTTTGATATTAATAATCAATACGGTGCAGCTATGAGTGAATTTTTACCTTATAAAGAATTTATATGGGTACAGGATTTTTCAAAAATCGATTTTAAAAATATATCTGATGAGTCATTAATTGGATATATTCTTGAAGTTGATTTAGAATATCCTGTTGAATTACATGATTTACATAAGGATTTACCTCTTTGTCCACAACACTTTGTACCACCCAATTCAAAGTGTAAAATTCCGAAATTAATGACAACTCTTTATCATAAAAAGCAGTACATTTTACACTATAGAAATTTAAAATTATACTTGGATTTAGGTATGAAATTAGTAAAAATTCATAGAGTTCTTCAATTTAAACAAAAGCCTTGGTTAAAGAGTTACATTGATTTAAACACTGAAATGAGAAAAAAATCCACTAACGAGTTTGAAAAAAATTTTTATAAATTAATGAATAATTCAGTTTTTGGTAAAACTATGGAAAATGTTCGAAAATATAAAGATGTTCGTTTGGTTACAAAATGGGAAGGGCGTTATGGTGCGAGATCACTTATTGGTAAACCAAATTTTCATAGTTGCACCGTATTTGATGAAGATATGGTTATTATTGAAATGAATAAATTGAAAATTACGTTTAATAAACCAATATATGCAGGTTTAACTGTTTTAGATATTTCAAAAATTATTACATACGATTTTCATTATAATTATATAAAAAAAAATTTTGGTGATAAGGTAAAATTGCTTTACACTGATACTGACAGTTTGATATATGAAATTCAAGTTCCTGATTTCTATCAATGTATGAAGCAAAATATTGAGAAATTTGACACCTCTGACTATCCACCAAATAATGTTTACGGTCTACCACTCTGTAATAAAAAAGTTTTAGGTTTAATGAAAGATGAATGTTGTGGAAAAATTATTGAAGAATTTATAGGTTTACGTTCAAAATTGTATGCATTTAAAATTTTTCAATTGAATTCGGAAAATAAGAAAGCTAAAGGTGTAAAAAAAAGTACACTAAAAACAATAACATTTAATGACTATAAGCATTCTCTAAATTTCCATCAAAATTTGATTAAAACTCAATTTTCGATTCGAAGCTGTAAGCATAAAGTTCGAACTATAAAACAAAGAAAGATTGTTCTAAGCTGAAAGACGATAAGCGTGTGTTAGCACCCTCAAATACCGATACATATCCGTGGGGCTATGAAAAGAAATAAAACTAAACATGCTCGTAAAATATAAATTAGAACTGTGATTTATATTTTTTGACATCACACAATTCCCATAACTTTAAAGCGTTAATTACAATCCCTACTTCTTCAATATATTTCTGTGAAATTCTACGTAGAATTTTCTCGACTTGGTTTTCATTCATCAAAGGTTGAAACAATACAAAAGCTTTTTTGGGGGTATAATCCCCACTTAGTCAAATGAGCCCTACTTCTCTCATTTTGGTACTCCAGTTTGAAGGAAGATCTTGTAGGAAAAAGAAGAAAAAAAAGTCTCAAAAGTAAAGTGTAAGCATAAGATTAGTTAAGAATTCGGTTAAATTAATTTATTGATATTCAACAATAATTAATACTGTGCCTCATTAATACGGAAACAATCAAAAATAATTTTTTTTCTAAATTGTTTGTCAGCAGCATCGACTCTACGCTTTTAAATAGAGCTCACCAAGAAAGGTGCATATTTGAATGCGCAGAGTCGATGTTGCTTTCGACCAATTTTAAATATTCAATGAATAAATTTAGTTTAAATTGTTTACATATAACTGTGACATAATATTAATTATTTTAGAAACAATAAATAAAGTTGAATTGTATTTTTTTAACAAATCTTATGCTTAGGAATTTATCAGTGTTGGTGTCTGTGAAGAAGAAGAAGAAGAAGAAGAAGAAGAAGAAGAAGAAGAAGAAGAAGAAGAAGAAGAAGAAGAAGAAGAAGAAGAAGAAGAAGAAGAAGAAGAAGAAGAAGAAGAAGAAGAAGAAGAAGAAGAAGAAGAAGAAGAAGAAGAAGAACTTGATTCTGTGTTATAGAAAAATCTATTTGCTTTACAACTAAATACTTAAAGTATTACAAAAAAATTAAAGATGTTTTATTACTTTTTAGATAGATTGATGTTTTGCTGATATCACCTTTGTATTTTTGTACATAAATGAAGAATATTTATCTCTTGTACAAAAATACAAAGGTGAGATCAGCTAATATCAATCTCAAACAAATTTATCAAAATAGTGAGATATGAATTTTTTGCTATAATTTAAGTACTTAATTGTCAAAATAGTGTTTTCTCTATAACTGTGTGTGACGCAAGAATAATCATAAAGAAAAAGTAATTTAAAATTGAATTGTATTTTTCAATAAATTTTTTATGCTTAGGTACAACTAGAAAAAGAAGAAGAAGAAGATGGCTGGAGACGAACCAATTAATTACAGTCCTCTCCAAGATACAGAGTAAGTTTTAAATTAAAATATTTTTTCAATTCATTTTTACACTAATCTTTTAAAAAATAATTATACAAATTAAAGAAAAAGTATAATTTTTGTCTTAGATCTGTTTTTTTTTATATTTACAGCATGGAGTACGTCATGATTAACCACGAGATATCTGTACCCATAGAGTGGGTCCTAGAAGTTACCTATGATTCGCTGATGACGCTGTGTCTTAACGCTATTGAGGTGTACCATGCCACTGAAATGCTTTCAGCAGAAGGATCAACAGTAAATGTTGTAACTGTACTTGCAGACATAACTGCAAAATTAGTCTTTGTCGGCGGCGTTTACAGTTTTAAAAAAATTAATTCTTATTAGTTGACATTATGTCTTTCTTTTAAAAAAAATTTCATTAAATGTTTGATCTTAAAAAAAATTTCTTTTTACAAATTAAAAAATGTCAAAAATTGTAAAATTTTGCAAAAATTGTAAAATTGTGCACAAATAAAGAACAAATTGTAACAAAAAATTTTATCAGAAAAAGATGATGAGTTTGTAAAAAAATGTTAATAAGAAAAAAATTTCAGCTAATAAATTAATATCTTTGAAAAAGAATTATATTAAAAAAATAATAGTAAATAATTTTTAATATTTTTTACATAAAGCATGCAAGAATAATAAAAAAAATTGATCAAATTTAAAAAAACATAATAATTAATGTATAAATAAAAGAAAAATTTTTAATTAAATAATTTTTTATATAACAATTAAACAAGTTGAAAAATAATTATTTTTTTTTAAATATGTTTGTGGTTTACTCTAATCGTCTAGTCGTTAAGTCAGCAGTAAAATGGTCTAATTCAAATGTGATCGTAAAAATGTCACATAAAAATTCTCCCCTCACAGTGTACTGTGATGCACGTTCTTTCTATGCTAGGCCGTCTTCGTATATCCTCTTCACTGTTACAGGCAGCGCTTGACTCTCTTCGTCCGTCCTTCGCTCCCTCAGCTTCTTTGGCCACCCCGTCACTCCGCTCTCCTCTCAAGGCAATGCTTTGCCTCTTACGTTCGTCCCCCGCTTCCTCACCACCTGCGGTCACCCTGCCCGCTCATCACCACTTCTGAGCACCTACAAACTGCATTGAGCTTTTTAAACCTTTATATTTTCACCATTTCTTTTCAAATTTTTTTCATTTTTTTTTTTTGGTTAAGGTAATAGAATAAAAAATACATATAAATTTTACATTTTTTCAAGTATTTATTTAAAAAAATTAGAACATTATTTAAATTAATAGTAATTATGTTATGTATATATTTAAGTACACAAGGAAAGTAAATTTTCTTCTTTCTTTCTCTTAATTAAAAAAAATACATTTTGTCTTAAAAAAAATCTTACCATCTAATAAAATGTTAATCAGAATAATTATAAAGCAGTTTTATATTACAAAAATTTACACACACACACACACACTACAATAAAATAACTACAAGCGACGGATAGAATTAAATTGCTGTGATTTTTTTGTAACTCATAGAGATCCAATAATCGGACTCATTTTTTTTCTTGTTTAATAAATTTTTAAATAACCAATCATTTAACATAATCACATTACGTACAGAACAATTTACGTTTCTCAGGTCAATGCATCGATTATGATAATGATGATGTTTACATGGTATCATATTGTCTGATAAAAAAACTAATTGTCGAAGAGATGGACAGCTCAAGTCCGCCATATCAACAATGTTAATTTTACATTTCGTAGTGCATAAATCTTGTAACCATTTCTTCTTCTCTAGGCCTTTTACATAAATTGTACGTGCATTTTTTAATGTTTTATTTAAAATAGTTGGTAATAAATCGAAAGGAATATCACCATCATTCCAATATAGACAATGAAAATTTTTTTCCAACCAACGGTTAATATTTTGGTATTGTGGTTTCATATATATCCATTTATATGGTGATTGAAAGAGAAAATTAAAGGGTTTGGTTATGTTCTCTTCAAGCGGTGTTATAGCCAATTCTTTTAAAATAAATTGATTTGTAGGTGATTTAAAACCTTGAAGGTCTACTACATAATCCATCTTGACTGTTACTGAATTAATAAGACAAAAGTAGGATTATTTATATTCTTCATTTTTTTTAGTAATATTGTCTTTAGTAATTTTTTTTACCTTTTTTTAGTAATTTTTAAATGATTTTTTTTACTCCACCACTGATTGGTCTGTACTCTACTACTCTGTCATGCAAAATGAGACAATATGCAGATGTTTGATCAGGAAAATTTTCTTTCGCTTCAAATTCAAGTCGAATGTCAACAGGGCCGTATTTTAGAGATTCATTTTGCTTTGAACAGTCAATTACTATTAATGGTGCAAAATCGAGAAATTCACCTTTCGTTAAATATGGTTGACATTCTTTATCATAGTAACTAGCTTGAAAGTTTGTATACATTTCATACAGTACAGCATAATGTTTTTTATCTAAATCAAGGTTAAGATTACCATATGGATAGCACTGATTGTTTAAAAATAATTTAACATTTGTAATTCTACAATGATCAAAGTGACTAGCATTTCGCGTTGTTACATTTTTTCGGTTTGTTTGAAAGCCTAGAATTACAAAACGAGGTTTTTCTAATTGCGTTGATGTTTTAACAGTCCACACATGATTCGCGGTTGTTGGTAGCAGAGGATATTCATATAATTCCCAGGTTCGAAAACTAATTGGAATTAGTGGATCTTTTTCAATGTATTTTAGCAATTTGAATTTTCGTGCATCAGATAAGCGTACATTAGGTAACAACCATTCAATTTTATCAATGGAAATTTTCACAAGTTCCTCAGCAGTTTGCAAAATTGCATTAACATCATTTCTCGATCTTGTTAAAATTAATTCATGTCTCGCGTTTACAATAATTTTTTGATAATCCTCAGCAAAACCAAAAATAACGCTTAGTGGAATTGAAATATCAAAATTACCATTATTATCAGCTAATGGAGTATTTGCATCACATGTGGGAAACCAACCTGCATTTTCTAAAAATTTACTTTGAGTACCATAAATTGAAATGTAATTTTTCATGAGACTCGTAAGACCGACATTTTTGTTTTTATCAATTTCCACAGCATTTAGCTCATAACGAGCTTCCTCAAATAAATGACAGATGGCGTTCATGATAAGCCTAGTATTGGTGACTGGTGTCCCATTTTCTTTTGTTAATTTTCCTTGTATATGAAGTGAGCTTTTTCCTGGTAAAAGACAGTGGTCTTGATTTTGAACAGCAATTCGAATTTCATCACTATTATTGAATGTTGATGAAGCATATGGTAAATGAGCATGGACTTCATAATGAGCAATGGATTCATCATAAACAATTGGTTTTGCAATACTTAGCAAGTCGTCCTCCATTTTTTTTATTTTTTACAGAATATTAGATGTCTATAGATGAAACCAACAAAGCAAATGCATACAAATTTAAATCTTTTTATTTTCACCTTCTTTTTTGCTTTTTCTGCTCTATCACTTTTAATCCTAGACTCTTCAATAGTTGAATGTTCTGCGGTGTTAACACCTTGACTGAAGATTTGTAACTGAATCTTTTTTGACATCCTACAGAGTTATTATTATTAATATAATAACCAAAGCCAACTTTTTGATTAAATACAATACCCATAATTTTATTCTTCTATTTTACAACCTCTTAATGTGTAATCTTATAGTAATAGTTTCACCACGAAAATTCACAATATGCCCATCTTGGTCAATGATTTGCAATTGAATATGATCTATTGTCTTGACAGCAACTGGTAAGTAAATGACTTGAGAGGGTACTTCAATTATCTTATATCCTGGTGGTACAGTGGGAAAAAATTCGTGAATTGTGTGCACCTTTTTATGATTAATATATGCACCTGTTGTAATATTACATTCAATTCTTAATGAATTCAGCTTTATAATAGACACTGGTAAATCAGATTGATGGAATATGTCAGCTTTCAGTATTTGTTGCCTAAAGCCTAATAATTGTGCAATAGAATTTGGTTTTTTAAAATTAATGTCACTATTGCACAAAATTTCACTCCTTAATGTGTTGTTATTTGGTTTAATGTGAAGAATAATTCCTTTTGGTTTTAAAACATGCTGTAGATAGCGTTGAATATCATCAATTTCGTAGCTACCTGTCGGTATAGTGATTTCTTCATCACCGACGTAAAATTTATTATTTCCAATATCTAAATTTGGAATCGAATTAAAGGTTAGAAATTCAACAAGTCCAAGAACATAATTTTTATTTGGAGTCAATTCAATTGGTGGAAAATAGTGTGCTTCCAAAATTGAAGAATTTCCAGACAATGTTAAGGTTAATGAATCGTTCATTTTGAGGGTTCAATGTAAACTGAGATATAAAATTTTTACTAGTCTTTATTTAAACAGGGAAAATACATTTTTTAACTCAAGTTGATTACAGAGAAATTTTAAACATAAATGACCACAAACAAAAGTGTCATAATTTTGATATCTTTTATGATTATATTTGATATTATCAACACTGAGATATTTTACAAGATCCGTAGGTGGTCGAAGGTTTCCAAAACTGTCAAAATATATAACATCATTCTTTATTTTTTTATAGGCAACCCAATGTGTGCCAGCACTATTTTTATTATCTAAATTAACTATAGCTGTTTCATTCTTACATGGTCCCATAAATGGTAAATTATCACGCATGAAAACTCCTCGAAAGTTAGGAATTTTTAACAATTTAGCATATTTAAGTAAATCGTAATTAGTCAATGCTCGTTGTGGTAATTTTACATTTTTTTTGCTTTTTTTTTTTTAGCAGAACATTCTAATCCCAATCCTTGTTTGTATGGCTTTAAAAAAAGCCCTTTACCAAGAGCAATGGACTCCATTGTTTGATTATGTCGTTGACTTTCTTCAAGTTGTTTTTTCGCTGCTTTTGCATCATTAACGGCTTTTGCAATTCCAGCAGCTCCACCAGATAGAGCCCCTACTGCACTGAGACCAGCGAAAATCGGCACAAGAAATGGTAAAAAACCACCAACTTTTTTTGGTACTGGTAAAATTCGAGGTTGCTTTACTTTGTTTTTTCCACCTGCGATTTTCACAGCTATTCGTGCCCCTTTTAGAGCTGACTTAATAGCTGATGAGGTATCATTACCAGGAACAATAGATTTTTTTGCTGCTAGTACAATATTTCTTAATGGATGTGTTGCTTTATTTTTTCTTTTCTTCTTATTCTTAGATTTATTCTTTTTTGATTTTAAACCCATTCCCATCTTTGTTTTCATTTTCATAGCGTTAGTAATTGCCCAAGCTGTTGCTTTTTCACCAACTTTTGCGTCACTAGCGTGTACTCGACTCCAAGCTTTTTCAGCGAGTATTTTGTCTGCTGCGTGTCTATTCTCAACGTTATTTCTATTTTGAGAATAAGCAATATCGTGCTCTTTGCAAGCTTGATCTAGTGGATTGATACCAGGATCACCACGTGCCAATCGTTTTGCTAATTTAGTTCCAGGTCCACAATACTGATAACCAGGAACATGCAATTCAATAGGCAATTTGTTAATAATTCTATTGAAAATGCCTCTTCCACGTTTGACAGATATTTTTGAACTGATTGATTTTTTCTTTACACACATGTTAATAATAATCGTTTGACATTCTTTTGAAGACTGAAGGAGAAAATGTATAAAAGCAAGGTATTTATACCAGTCTGGGTCATTTCATGTTGATGCTCCAAACTGGAATGTTCCCAGTGGGCACCGGGACATCTAAAAGACGTCTTTAGGACGTCCTATATTGTCCGTGGACATTTTGGGACAAAGTTGTTCTTGTCCTAGAGTCATCATAAAGACAACAAAAAGACTTCTTTAAGATGTTCTATGTCTGCCATTTTTATGTCTTGGGGACGTAAAAAAGGAGAAAAAAAGGCCTCAAAACGACCACATTTTCCATCAGGAACTTCGCAAATTTTCTATTAAAAGTAGTTTAATATCTTTAATAATTTCAAGCAATAAATATTTAGAATAGAATTACAAAAGTTTTATGTCAATCCACTGTTAGATAAATTTATATATTTTTAAAAAATTAAGAAAAATTGTATTAAATATCAAACATGATAAATTTTCATTTCTACAGAGAATTTAAATAAAACGCTATTTATATAACGGAAAAATAAAGGAAAAGTGTAAGGCAATGCAAACATTATTAACCCATGTCTGACAAAGAATATGTTAGCGCATGGTAAATCAAAATCTATTATTACACCAGTTAATTATTAAATTGTTATTTAAATTGAGAAGCAGAGTAAATAAAAAGTTTTTATTATATAGAAATAAATTTCCTGATTTTGTAAATGAAAAATATAAAATAATTATTTTTAATTACAGTAGATCAGTTTTCCTTTTTCGTCGTATATTTACACAATAAGAAATTTTTTTTTAATTAAGTAACATTGGAAAATTACTACAATATTACCGAGTAATATTAATGTAATATTATCGTGATATTCTCGGTAATATCATTAGGCGGACATTTTTAAATGACTGTAATATTACGTGCAAATTGGAATGCAATATTGATCAGAATGACAATTTTCGGATAATTGCGGAGACAAAAAGGTTTACAAAAAAACTTTTTGCTTTATTACCGACTGTTTGTTTGAAAATCCTTTCATTTAGTATGAAAAAGCTTAACTGAAAAATTGCTGTGTAGAATGTCCAATTGATGTCCCCGGGACGTCCTAGGGACGTCTTTTGGACATAGAACTTAGAAATTTTCCCTCCGAGAAATGAGATTCCAGTTTTAACTTTTAAGGAAAATGACGAACTCGCAGATGTAATTACAAAAACTAAAAGGATTTACGAAAAAAGCTTTTTCCTTTATTACCGACTGTTTGTTTGAAAATACTTTTATTTAGTATGAAAAAGCTTAACTGAAAAATTGCTGTATAGAATGTCCAATTGACGTCCCCGGGACGTCCTAGGGACGTCTTTTGGACATAGAACTTAGAAATTTTTGCTCCGAGAAATGAGATTCCAGTTTTAACTTTTAAGGAAAATGACGAACTCGCGGATGTAATTACAAAAACTAAAAGGATTTACGAAAAAAGCTTTTTGCTTTATTACCGACTGTTTGTTTGAAAATCCTTTTATTTAGTATGAAAAAGCTTAACTGAAAAATTGCTGTATAGAATGTCCAATTGACGTCCCCGGGACGTCCTAGGGACGTCTTTTGGACATAGAACTTAGAAATTTTTGCTCCGAGAAATGAGATTCCAGTTTTAACTTTTAAGGAAAATGACGAACTCGCGGATGTAATTACAAAAACTAAAAGGATTTACGAAAAAAGCTTTTTGCTTTATTACCGACTGTTTGTTTGAAAATCCTTTCATTTAGTATGAAAAAGCTTAACTGAAAAATTGCTGTGTAGAATGTCCAATTGATGTCCCCGGGACGTCCTAGGGACGTCTTTTGGACATAGAACTTAGAAATTTTCCCTTCGAGAAATGAGATTCCAGTTTTAACTTTTAAGGAAAATGACGAACTCGCAGATGTAATTACAAAAACTAAAAGGATTTACGAAAAAAGCTTTTTGCTTTATTACCGACTGTTTGTTTGAAAATACTTTTATTTAGTATGAAAAAGCTTAACTGAAAAATTGCTGTATAGAATGTCCAATTGACGTCCCCGGGACGTCCTAGGGACGTCTTTTGGACATAGAACTTAGAAATTTTTGCTCCGAGAAATAAGATTCCAGCATTAACAAAAATAAAAAATTCGACACAATTGCAGATACTAGAAATATTTATAAAAAAGCTTTTTGTTTTATGTTGTTGAGCAGAATAAAAATAAGAGATAATTACATAGACTAAAAATATTTCAGAATTGCCACAGAAGATGGATTTTAAAATTCCATGACTTTTCCAGGTTTTCCAGACCACTTTTAAAAAAATTCGAGACTCACAATTAACATTTTTTTCATAAATTTTTATCTAATTTTACGACAAAAAAATATAAAATCCTTTAAGTAAATTATTAATAACATAAGTTATTAATTTTTAATTTTATAAGTAATTAAAATTTAAGTAATGAATAAATAAATAATTAATTTTAGCTGTAATAAAGATTTAATGAAGATTTCATTCCAAAAATGATAAACAATAACGTACAATTTTTTGCTTCTAAGGTACCCTTTTACCTATTTTAAAGTAGATGAAAAAATAAACAGAAAAATAATAGGAATTTTTAAATTTAGTTTTGCTTAGAATTTTTACAATTAATCGAGTATTTTAAACATTTTAATAACATTTTTGGTTTTTCTAAAATGCATTTAAAAATATTGATTTAAAAATTACGCAAAGGAAAATATTGACTTGAAGAAGATAAAATTTAGGAAATGCTACATAGATTTGAAATGTAAGCACTAAATTTAAAGTTAAAATGTTGTACAATGTGAACTTGAAGACTTGAGATTTTTAATATTCAAATTTAAAAAATTGAATTTTCTGAATAAGACTTTATAAAACTCCCTGACAATTCCAATTTTCCCAGGTTTTCCAGGTCTAAAAAAATTTTGAAAACCAAATTCCCGAATTTTTTAAATATCTGGATTATCCGAACTAATTTATAGGCATGATCTGGTTCGGATGATATAAATTGCAATTATTTTCGTATATATTTATGGATAAATGATTGTTTTAAAATGTTTTTACACTATTCAATGGCATTCCGACGGCTCCTAAATGAAAACACATTATTCGCGAGAGAAATTATAAAACACGTAACTCAAGAAAAAAAATAGAAAAAGCGTTATTCATATGAAATAGTTTTTAGGCTAATTTTTCAAAATTTTACTATTTAATTGAAGCCAATATAAAATGCCAAATAAAGAATTTTTTTATTTAAAGTTAATTTAGATTTAATAAAACAATTTTGATAACTTCTATTTTTGCGATTTGTTTACACTTTAAAAATAATAAATATTAAAAATTGTAACATAGCCTTCAAAATCTGTCATTTTAAATGAGCATGTTTTCTATTTGTTTTCGTGAGTTATGTATTTTATAAACGCTCTCGCGAATAATGTTTTCATTTAAGAGCCATATTTTATTAAGAGTCTTCTTTGAGGTAATTACATTAAAATTCGCTGAATAATCACTAAAATTTCTTTATTTTTATGAGATTTTTGTACCAATAGGTGTAAAAATTGAAAGTTTTTGTTTAAGATGACGAAAAAGTTCGGACAAATTGATTTACAGTTTGGATAATGGAGGGTTCAAATAATCGAAGTTCCACTGTAATAAGTTAAAAAGAAGATGGGTTCAAATTTCAGTGACTTTCTGTTTATTAAAATAGTATTTCTCTTACTACAAAGTACAAACTTTTGATTTTCAATTTTTTTATTAAGAACAAAGTAATACGCAAATAAAGCTGTTTCGTCCAGTTATTAACCACGTCCACCTTTTGAAATGTTTCGTTTAATTCGATCTCCAGTCCTCCTGAACCAATCCGCAATAACTCCTTCAATCGCACTTTCCGTGGTTGTTGGAAAACTTTTCAGAATTTCTCCTACAAAAGAAAATTGGTTGCTTCAACTAGAATTTCGTTGTTTGCAAAAAAATTTTTTTTTGAGTTTATTTAAAGAAAGAAATTTATTTTCTTGGGCCGAGTAATTGTTAGTATTAACCAGAATTCTTAAATTAATAATTTAGTATTTCGTAGTTAAGTAAATAATGTTATTTTTTCAATCAAAGTTTATTACTTTTCGGAGTCTGAAGAAATGTTAAATCAAAAACATTATGTTTTTTAATACAAAAATTACTGTCTGTAGAATTATTGCATATTAATTCAATTTCAAACCAGGTAAACTGAATAACATCAACAGTCAACATTAAAATTTTCAATAATAAAACACAAAAAAGTAATGTTGAAAATTTGTTTCACATATAATTTTTATTTTTAAGTAATGCAAGAAATTTTTTTGTCTTTAGGGTAGCACCACAAATGATTTAATAGTAAGCTTTTCAAATTTAATATTAAAAAAACATTTAATATTGAAGACATTTATTATTATAGAAATTTAAGATCGGACAAAAAATAGTTAAAACCTTTGATAAATAAAAATATTGTGCTGTGATTCTATTTACATTTATAGACAATCATCTTTTTCATTGTTTATTTTAAAACATTATTTAAATTTAAAACAACATTAAAAAGAATACAAAAAATCTAAAAGATACCAGGAAAAATATTTATTTTGTTATTATTATTTGCAAAAAAATTGGAAAGTGGAACAAATTTTGTCTATTTATTTTCAGTTCATTTATTCAAAATGCAAATGTGAATAACTTCCTTGAAAATATTTCTATAAAAAATAGAAAAATATGCATCTTATGTGAAAAAACATATATTTTAACAGATGAATCTACAACTTGAAATATTCGATCTGCCTGATTTGAAATGTACTAAGTCTGCAACAGCTTTTGTATTAGAAATCTAAAACTTTTGAAGCTTATTTCGAACCTATAACAGTTGCTGCTATATTTTTGTCTTCAAATTTTCTGTTTCCTTTCACGCCTTTCCACGAATACTCTCTTGCTAAGGTATCTGTCATAATAAGGGACATTACTGCTCTACAGGCTGCTGCAAAATCCTTTCCACCCCGTCGGCTTACTTTCCTTTGCTAACATTAAAAACGGACCAGCAATAATGTTATTTGTAAAATAAGACTGATTTGGATGATTGAAAAAGAAGAAAAATTTTAGTTAATAGTTTTTAGACAATAATTGTTTTCTGTGGTGTTAAAAATCAAATGTTTATAAAATTTACGTCGATAGTATGAAATTAAATTTAGTAAATTTAAAAATTACAAATTGTTCTAAGGCGACAGAATTATTTTGAATCAGCCTATCAAATTCTTCAAGTTCCTCAACTGATTTTAAAGGTTGCTTCGGCAGAGTTTCGTGACTTGTTGTGTCAGATGCTAAATTTGATCTGACTTCATGTCCCGATTCGAGGTAATTTATTATATGGTTGACACCATTATGTATAATTATTGACGACTTTCTTATTTCCTGCATTAAGTCGCAATTATCTGAAATAATGAATAAATCATAAATGAGCTCGAAATTACTTGATTAAGATTTAAGATCTTTCTACACCTCCAACATTTATAAATATTAGAGGTGATATAGATAGTAATATAATATAATATTACATTACTATAGCAACCCAGTAAAACAGGATTTTTTGATATAGCGTTTTGGACAATTGAGCAAGCCGTCTGCTCAATTGTCCAAACGGCATTTGGACAATTGGACTGGTTGCTCTATTATCCGATGCATGGGGTCCAATCATCCCAAATGTTTTTCGTGGCTAAAAAACTGCTGAATTAAGAAAAAAAGTACTGAAATGTTACAGAAACTTTAGAGAATTCTTAATTCTAGACAAATACAGAAAAATTAATCATAAAAATACCTTGAGTGAGGAAAAAGAACTAGATTTCTAAAATATCACTTTTTAACTTACAGTGCAATGCTGTACTTGGAATTTAGTTGGCAAGAAGTGAGGATTCTGATAAAGAGAAACACTTCATTATCCACTCTCAATACTCCTCATGTGGTAATATATGTATAATTGTAGATTTTTAATAATAGTGTATTGACAATAATATTTTATTTTGCTGAATTATCTCTTTTTTAAAATGAGACACCGAAATCTATAATATATATTACCACATGAGGAGTATTGAGAGTGGATAATGAAGTGTTTCTCTTTATCAGAATCCTCACTTCTTGACAACTAAATTCCAAGTACAGCATTGCACTGTCAGTTAAAAAGTGATATTTTAGAAATCTAGTTCTTTTTCCTCACTCAAGGTATTTTTATGATTAATTTTTCTGTATTTGTCTGGGATTAAGAATTCTCTAAAGTTTCTGTAACATTTCAGTACTTTTTTTCTTAATTCAGCAGTTTTTTATCCACGAAAAACATTTGGGATGATTGGACCCCATGCATCGGATAATAGAGCAACCAGTCCAATTGTCCAAATGCCGTTTGGACAATTGAGCAGACAGCTTGCTCAATTGTCCAAAACGCTATATCAAAAAATCCTTTTTTACTGGGAATACATCATAATGACACTTACAGCAGACACATCCCTGATGACAAATTTTGATCCGCCTTGAATTCTCTGAAATATATACAAATGTAAAATTGCAAACGTGCATTTGTATATAGGGCAAATTTTCTTAAGTGTACTAAGCTCAAAAGTAATAGTTGGCAAATCGGACTAATATTTCCACAATCTTTAGTATTCCTAGTAACTATACTTAAGCCACTGAATATAATAGAATTTTTTTTAAAAATTTTTGTCCAATTTGATCATGACAATTTTCAAAAAATTAAAATCATATGAGGGTCAGACCATTATATTTCAAATAAAGTCGTTGCGGCCTAATTTAAAAAAAAATTGATACTTTGAGAAATGAATCTGTATGATCTCTGAAGAACGAAATGAAAAGATTTATATTAAAATATTTATTACTTTTCTTAAAATATGAGTGTAAAGTGGAGAAGGTGCGAAAAAATGGCACTTTTTTAGCAATTAGAAAATATTTAAAAAAGTATTGAAAAATTGTTAAAAGTGCAAAAATATTTATTGATTCATGTTTAAAATTAGTTGATTAATTATTCTTTAATAAAAAAAACTAGTAAAAATATAAAAATAATAGATAAAATATGTTTTTAAAGTCGATCCGCCAAATAACCTAATTTAGACGTTTTTGTCAATTAATTACGAGAAGGTGGAACTATTGAATTAAATAATAACTCACCGAATATAGAGTATTTTTGATGAACTTTCAGGATTTCTTATGACTTTTTTAATATTTCCTTTAAATATACAAGAAATATTGAGTTGAAAGTACGCGATTTTTGAATTGTTGCGTACTTTACAACTTAATAACTCCGTTAAAGAAAAATAATAAAATTTGGCACTTTCACAACTTCTAAATCACAACGAAATTTATACACTCAGAAATTTTCTTTTTGGTCCTGGGTCTAATTTAATAAATATAAATGTTTAAAAATTGCACACTTTTTCAGGTTAAAACTATTTATTTTCTTAAAATTGAAGTTGGTTTTTTATTGTAAATCATGTTCCGATCATAGTGTCTTAACTAAAAGCTAACTTCAATTTTAAGAAAATAAATAGTTTTAACCTAAAAAAGTGTGCAATTTTTAAACCTTTATATTTATTAAATTAGACCCGGGACCAAAAAGAAAATTTTTGAGTGTATAGATTTCGTTGTGATTTAGAAGTTGTGAAAGTGCCAAATTTTTTTATTTTTCTTTAAAGGATTTATTAAGTTGTAAAGTACGCAACAATTCAGAAATCGCGTACTTTCAACTCAATATTTCTTGTATATTTAAAGAAAAAATTAAAAAAGTCTTAAGAAATTCTGAAACTTCATCAAAAATACTCTATATTCGGTGAGTTTTTATTTAATTCAATAGTTCCACCTTCTCGTAATTAATTGATAAAAACGTCAAAATTAGGTTATTTGACGGATCGACTTTAAAAACATATTTTATCTATTATTTTTATATTTTTACTAGTTTTTTTATTAAAGAATTATTAATCAACTAATTTTAAACATGAATCAATAAATCTTTTTGCACTTTTAACAATTTTTCAATACTTTTTTAAATATTTTCTAAATGCTAAAAAAGTGCCATTTTTTCGCACCTTCTCCACTTTACACTCATATTTTAAGAAAAGTAATAAATATTTTAATATAATTCTATTCATTTCGTTCTTCAGAGATCATACAGATTCATTTCTAAAAGTATCAATTTTTTTAAAAATTAGGCCGCAACGACTTTATTTGAAATATAATGGTCTGACCCATGAACTTTTAAAATTTCATATCTTTACCAATTTGTTTAATTACTTTTTAGATATTTAAATATTTCAGTAACATGAAGATATTTTAGTGTTTAACAAATATTTAAAATAACAAGTATTTTAGTGTAACAAAATAACAGCACAATATGAAGATATATTTTGTTTAATAAAAGTACAGTGAAACCTCGATTATCCGAACTAACCTAGACAAGGCTAGGTTCGGATAATCGAAAGTTCGGATAGTAGAGATTTTAATTTTTTTCATAATTAAAGTAAAAAAATTGGATAGTTGGACTATATATATTTAATTTAATACTTTTTTTTAAATATGCATAAGTATATACATGTAAATATATATTAATTGAGACGCATGCTTATTCCCGAAATCTTTTTTGACTAAATAGTTATTTGATATAAAACTACTTAACTTAAAATTTACATAAGATGCACATTATTTGACATAAATTTCATTGTACACAAAAACCATTTAACATAAATATCATTTGTGATAGAATTCATTAAACAGAAATATTATGTTACATAAAACTCAGATAACTTAATTCCCATTTGACATAAAAACTATGTAACATAAATTTCTATTGACATAAAAATCATTTAACATAAATTTATTTTGACATAAAAATAAAATACATTTAACGTAAATTTTATTTGTTATATATTCATTTGACATCAATTTCATTTGGCATAAATGCCATTTAACGTAATTCTCATTTAACATAAATATCATTAGACATAAAATTAACTTGACATAAATTTCATTTGACGTAAATATCATTTAACATAATTATTATTTAACGTAAAATTAAATTTATATAAATTTCATTTAGCATAAATTCCATTTAACATAATTCTCATTTGGCATAAAATTTACTTAACATAAATTTCATTTTGTATAAATCACATTTAACATAATTTTCTTTTGACATAAAGTTTATTTGACATAAAAGACATTTGACTGATAACGCATTACACATAATTCTCATTTGACATAAAATTCAGTTGTCATAGATTTTATTTTACATAAAGATCATTTGACATGGAAATATAGGCGCGAATTTCAAAATTGGCGAATCACAATGTTGTTGATAATTTCTAATTGGTTACTTTTAAAATTCGCGCCGATATTGTTATGTAAAATGTAATTTGTGTAAAATGAATTTTATGTCAAATGAGAATTTTGTTGAATGACTTTTATGACAAATGAGAATTACGTTAAATGACATTTATGCCAAATGAAATTGATGTCAAATGAATATATAACAAATAAAATTTACGTTAAATGCATTTTATGTCAAAATAAATTTATGTTAAATGATTTTTATGTTAATAGAAATTTATGTTACATAATTTTTATGTCAAATGGGAATTAAGTTATCTGAGTTTTATGTAACATAATATTTCTGTTTAATAAATTCTATGATAAATGATATTTATGTTAAATGGTTTTTGTGTGCAATCGAGGTTCCACTATATTGACTAGAAAAAAGGAGAAAAACCTGATTCTTTCTTAAACGGGTGTCTACTATTTTTGTTCAACAAAATCCCAAATTTTTTCTTCATTCTTCCCTGTTTATCTTTTCTCCTCTAATTTAAAATTATTCAGTTTTATGTATAAATAAATTTTTTTCTAAATCTAAAATAGTAGTTTTTACTAATGAAAAAGTGCGGATTCTTTTGCTGAGATGAAAAAGCTTAACTGAAAAATTGCTGTGTATAATGTCCAATTGACGTCCCCGGGACGTCCTAGGGACGTCTTTTGGACATAGAACTTAGAAATTTTTGCTCCGAGAAATGAGATTCCAGTTTTAACTTTTAAGGAAAATGACGAACTCGCGGATGTAATTACAAAAACTAAAAGGATTTACGAAAAAAGCTTTTTGCTTTATTACCGACTGTTTGTTTGAAAATCCTTTCATTTAGTATGAAAAAGCTTAACTGAAAAATTGCTGTGTAGAATGTCCAATTGATGTCCCCGGGACGTCCTAGGGACGTCTTTTGGACATAGAACTTAGAAATTTTCCCTCCGAGAAATGAGATTCCAGTTTTAACTTTTAAGGAAAATGACGAACTCGCGGATGTAATTACAAAAACTAAAAGGATTTACGAAAAAAGCTTTTTGCTTTATTACCGACTGTTTGTTTGAAAATCCTTTCATTTGGGTGATTCTTCTGAACGTACCACTTTTGAAATTCGATTATTCAACTTCTTTTTTTGATATTATATGGTTTTTTTTATTGAACTTACAGTATTTCATACTCTAGAGTAAAAATCCAAGATGCGCAAAATTAATTGTAGAATATATTAAAGTTTTTCTTCTTTAAAGAAGATTGACTTTGTTGCTCCAATTGATTAGTTTTATTTGTTTCGTGAGTTTTTTTTTATTAAATATACACACTAATTTAATTCATAATAAAATTACACTGTTTAAAAAGTACCAATTTGCATATTTTAATACTAAATATATTCAGTTTGATTAAAATATGAAACATTTTACTTTCTGACAATATTTTTAAAATTCTTAGAGTTTGAAAAAACAGCATAAAAATTTGGTTTTCTAAATTTTTACTATAAAAGTGGATAACAATTATTATAGAGAGGAGAATTTATAAAATTAATCAATAAATCAAAAATGTTACTTTCAGAAGAATCACCCATTCAGGATGAAAAAGACTTCCCTGAAAAATTGCTGTGTATAATGTCTAATTAACATCCTTGGGACGTATTTTGGACATAAAACTTAGAAATTTTTCATACGAGAAATAAGATTTTATTATTAACCAAAATAACAAATTCTGCATAATTTCATAAACTAGAAATATTTATAGAAATACTTTTTGCTTTATTACAAACTTCGCATTGGAAATTTTTATGATATTGTGAATGTCGAAAAACTTTAAAAACCGTGAAAGTTCTTTTTACTACCAACCGTTATACGAAAATGAGACTCACGCTTTTTCAAATTGAGCCCTTTTAGAAATTCAAGATTCAATTAAGGATGAATCAGCACACGAAAAGATTTCTGCATTTGATTCCATATAAATGTCTTAAGGGCATCTTAAGGATGTCTTTCGAAAATATGACTTAGTCCCATTTTTTGCCAAAAAATGGGACTATCAAAATTAGTAAAATAACTGTAAAATAAATAATTTTTAAAAGAAAAAGAAAATTTTTGTTTGAACTACCAACTACAAAAATATGTACTTAACAAAGCAAGAACCTATACATTACAAATATTTTTGTTCTAGAAGTGGACCATCTATTTTAAAACGAGTACAATAAATAATACAATAAAATAATTATTGGTTATTAAATTTGGATCTTAAATTAAACGACATTGAATAAAACCAATAAAAAGAATAATTTTTTAAGTATAGAATTAAGAAACATAAAAATTGAGGTGCAATCAATCATGCACAAAAAAGTATAAATGATAGGGATATAAAAGCAGAATAATTACCTGTGATAGTGTTTTCAGAATTTGCATCTCTTAATCCCCCGTTAGGATTACCAACAGCAATTGGACTGTTCTCCCTGGAACTATCAATTCGACTGCCCTCCCTGAAAGTGTCACTGAAGCTGTTCTCCCTGAAGCTGCTGTTTGGATTGGTATCCCCAATTAGGTCGACTGTACTGCTCCTGATACTGCCATTTGGGATGTTTCCATTTCCACCAGTTCGACGAGCATGGCTGGTCTCCATGAAGCTGCTACTTGGATTTGTTCCCCCAATTAGGTCGACTGTACTGCTCCTGATACTGCCATTTGGGATGTTTCCATTTCCACCAGTTCGACGAGCATGGCTGGTCTCCGTGAAGCTGCTACTTGGATTTGTTCCCCCAATCAGGTCAACAGTACTGCTTTTTACGACACTGTCATTTGGGATGTTTCTCCTACTTTTACCACCATGGATGGTCTCCCTGAAGCTGACACTTGAACTCGTTCCCCCAAGTAGGTCGACTGAACTGCTATTCTCGACACTGTCATTCCCCTCAGCTCCATTAGCATTGCTGGTCTTCCCCATTCTCTTGGCTGGACTGTTTTTTCTGCTATTACCCGCTGAATTGATCATTCTAATTCCGTCAGCTGTACTGCTTCCCCCAATGTTGTGAGTTGAACTATCTCTTGATCTCGGACTCCTGCCTGTGTGAAGTGGACTGGATTTTCTTCTTTTTGGACTGGATTTTCTTCGTTGTGGACTGGATTTTTTTCTCTGCGGACTGGATTTTCTTCGTTGTGGACTGGATTTTCTTCGTTGTGGACTGGATTTTCTTCTTTGCGGACTGGATTTTTTTCTTTGTGGACTAGATTTTCTTTGTGGACTAGATTTTTTTCGTTCGGGACTGGACTTATTTTTGTGTTTTGAAACGCGTGTTCTCTCTTTCGATGTGCTGTGCCTCTTGTTATTCGAAATATGTGCTTTCTCTTTGGTTGAAGTGTGTGTTCTCTCTTTGGTCGCATTGTCCTTCCTGGAATTATGACTACTTTTTGTTTCACTCAGTGTACTGAATTTTCTTTCGTTTGAAGAGATTTTTACTTCATTTTGATCGTTGCTTTTTTTATTTTTTATGCTTTCAAGATTTTTTTTTTGTTCATTTTGAATTGTTAATAGTTCCCTTACCCTAATTTTGTTTATATCATTATAAGGTTCGTTTTTGACAATTCTTGGAACACATTTTTTCTCATCTGTTTTAAAATTCCAGGGTGGTTGACTGATTTTTTTTTTCTTTGGACCTAAAAAATACAAGAATTAATCAAACAAACATTGTTTATTATAAATAAAGATAATTTTTTTGCTTTAGTGATTCTTACTCGGTACATATTCTTCATCAGAACTAAAATTTTTTGGCATTGCTTGACGTTTTGGTGGTAGTTGCTTCTTGGGCACTAGATTTTTAAAAGTTTCATCTGAACTTGACAAATTGGTTAATTGTTTTTCTACATCGAGTGCATCCTCTTTCGACTCTAAAAACATCAAATATTGTTTACAAATCATTATTTTATAAATCATAATATAAGAACATTGTTACTGTAATTTCTTCCAAAATTGTTTTCATTATTTTAATTCAATTATTATTTTCTCTAATTTTTAAATATAATTCTGGTTTAAATAAATTATTTATTATGTAATAAGTTTTGATAAAGTTTTTTTTGAGAATTTTCAAATTCATTTGTTTATAATATTTAATTTTACGTAATTTCGATTATTCGGCAATTCTTCAATTAAATATATGGGAGGATGGGACAAGGATAGTTAGGTAAGACCTTTTCGAATCTAGCGGCCAAACTTGAATATGTAACTGCAAATGAGAAGTATTTTTGGAAAGCCTGGTATTTGGCTATAATTTTGCAGTACATTATTTTACTGTAGACTCAAATCCCTACGAGATACGAATGAAAAAGTAAACAAAAATTTTTAACTATCCTTGCCTCAGTACTGGGGCAAGGATAGTTAAAAAAATTTGAATGCTAAAAATGCTATAGAAAATCAGTAAATTTTTGTTTTCTTTATTTTACTGGATTTAGACTATTCAATATTGATATCTCAAGTATTAAAAATAGGTATGGAGCATTTTCTGAATTGCAATTATTGTATTAAAATTCATCTGAACTAGAATCAGAGGTTTAAATTTAGATTTTTAAAGATTTGAATTTGAAAATTTTTCAAAATTCAATTATTTCTAAAAATTCATGCTACAATGCTTTTAATATTAAATAATTATGTAAAATTTTAACCGAAATTCATTTTTTTGATAAATTTTTTTTAGAAAATTCTACGAGGATTCAATTATTTTAATACAAAGATAATCTATTTAATAATTTAATGTTTATTGGAATTTAATTTTTACGAAGAATTTTATTAACAACTTTTGAAAATAATTAATTTCTATAAAGAAATTTAATTCAATTTTTACTGAAATTTATTATATTAAAAAATTTTATAACAATTTTTAAAAATAATTGAATCAAGGTTGCTACAAACATTTAATTTTCTTTTTCCCTGACTTTACCCTGATTTCTAGAAAAATTTTTGTCTTTTTCCCTGACCCTAAAGAATATTCTGATTCACTCTAAAAATGATTAAATACTCAAAACAATGTTCTATTAGGTACCTACATTTATTTAAGAATTTCTTTAATTGTAAAATTATTTTTTAAAATTATTTTCATCGTTTCAATTCAATTCAATTCAATTTCTAAAAATTTAAAATAAAATTCTACTTTAAATCAAGTTTTAATAATTTTTGAAAAACTTCTTTGAGAATTTTTAAATTCATTTGTTTACAATTCTATTATACGTGAAATTTTAATTATTCGGAAATTCTTCAATTAAATATACATTAGAAAATAGAAACATGAAATAATTTTAAAAAATTGCAATTGAGCTTTTTGAAAATAGAATTAGTTACATAGAATTTTTAGTTAAAAGTATGAAAAATTCAAATTTTCAAAGATATTAATTTAAAACTTGAACAAAATTCAATTATTTCTAAAAAAATTGCAATTATTAGTAACTCCTCCAAAATTCAATTATTATCTAGAACTATAACTTAAATTCATTCATAAATCAATTATTATTAGAAAATTCTATGAGAATTGAATTATTTAAAAACAAACATAGATAATTTAGTGAATAATTAAGTGTTTTTTTAAATTTAATTCTCATACATAATTCTATCAACAAATTTTTAAATAATTAAATTTTTTCGACGAATTTTAATAACATTTTAAAAATAATTTCAGTTTTGAAGGAATTTGATTAAAATTTTATGAAAAATAATTAAAATTATTGCCAAGAATTCTATAAAAAAACTTTCAAACAATTAGTTTTTTTCAAAAAATGTATCCAAATTCTACTTTTATTTTTATTTGCTTGAGAAATAATTTAATGTTCGTGTTAAATATTGTTAAAATTGTTGTTTAATAATTCAATTATTTTAGGAAAATTTATTAAAATAGTAGAATATTGAAAAATTATTGAATTAATAAAATTATTTATGAAAGTAATTGAATTTTGTCAAAATTCCTGATAATAATTAAATTTTGTCGACGAATTTTGCTATTCATTTATAAAGATAAGTAATTTAAATGTTGACCATTTTTTTGGACTCTGAAAATAATTGAATTCATGCGATGAATTTTATTAAATTTTGTTTAAATAATTGAAATTTTGACAAGAAGTTTATTAACATTTTTGACAATAATTTATTTTTTGAGAAGAATTTTCCTATCTATTTATAATGATAATTTAATTATTGACGAGAATTTTTTAAAAATTTTGATAATAATTTAATTTTTGCAAAGTATTTTATTACTTTTCAAAAGATTTGAATTATTTTGGTAATTTTTTATATTTATTAAAATAATTGAATTTTGGATAAGAATTTTGTTGTTTAACAAGACAATTGAATTCTTTTGCAGAATTACTTAAAAATTTTGAAAAATAATTGATTTCCTGAGACGAATTAAAAGTTATTTATGAAAATAATTGAATTATTGCAACAAATTTTATTATTTTATTTAATAATTGAATGCTTCTTAAATTTGAATTCTTTTGGCAAGTTTTAATAAAATTTTTAAGAATAATTGCATTTTTCGAGGAATTTATTTAAAATTGTATTAACAATATTTAAAATTATGCCGTGAAAATAATTGAATTCCTAAATTAAATTTTATTATTTATTAGAGGTGTGCAAAAAGCTCGAAGCTTGATCGGGTATTTTCGAGCTTTTTATTTTTCGAGCCGAGCCGAGCCTATTCAGTTCGAGCTCGAGCAGAGCTTTATAAAAAGCTCGAATAATTTCGGGTACTCGAAACTTTCGAGTACTCGATTTGATTCCAGCCCTTGAGAAAATCCAAAATTTTCTAATTTAATTTTTAGGGGCTGTCTATAAATTACGTAAGACATTTAGGGGGGAGGGGGGATCAGCACGATCTTACGAACAATAGAAAAAATGGCGCTAATGTATGTAAAATATCTAACAAGAACGGGGGGCAAATTTTCCAAAAAATGTCTTACGTTATTTATGGGCAGTCCCTTAATTAAATTTTTTTTTATAAAATTTTTTTTTTTATTTCAAAGCTCGAATTAAATTGAGTACTCGAAAATTTCAAGAACCCGATACATTGAGCCCGGGTCGGGCTCGGCTCGAAAAAATTGCGGCCCGGATCGGCTCGGTTATTCGAGCACACCTCTATTATTTACGAAAATAATTGAATGTTTTCTTAGAATTTTATCAAAAATTTATTTAGATTCGTTAAATAGTTCTTAAAATATTGAATTTCTCAGAAGAATTTTATTACTTTTGAAAATAATTGAATTCTTGTGATGAATATTGTTATTTATAAAAATCATTGAATTTTGCAAAGATTTTTTTTTAGATTCCTAAAAATAATTGAATGCTTGTGAAGAATTAATTGTGAAATAATTAAATAATATTAAAAATATTCATTCTGGTCAGAAGTAGAAATAAATTTTAAAGGTTTTGTATTACAATTCGTGGTAGTTTTATTGTTTCTGAGACAAACAAAAAAGACTAAAAATTCAGAATTTTCTTATGACTTTCAAAAATTTAATTTTTTCCAGTACTTTTAATAAAAAATCGATTAAAATTGTATTAAAAATAATTTAAATTCTGCAATGAGTTTTATTATTTATGATAATAATTGAGTTATTGACAATAATTTTATAAAAAAGATTCAAACAATTGATTTTTTTGGAATTTTACAATGAATTTTATAGAACTTCCTAAATATAATTGAATTTCGGCGAAGAATTTTGTTATTTATAAAAATAGTTGAAATGCTGACTAGAATTTGTTTTATAAATTTTTGAAAATAATTGAATTTTTGTAAAAAAATTTATTATTTACTAAGATAGTAGAATTCTTTTAAAAAATTGAGTTAAAATTTTTCAAAAAATACTTCATTAAATGATTTATGAGAAATAACTTTATGGCAGTTCTTCAATAGAATTAAGTAATTTAAAATAAACTATTGTCAGAAATAGAAAAAATTCAATGTTTTTTAGAATTCGTGGTAGTTTTATAGTTTATGAGGCAAATAAAAAGATTCAAAAATTCAGAATTTTCTTATAAATTCTGAACATTTAATTTTTTCTAGTACTTTTAATAAAAAAAACCCTGACTTTTTCCTGATGTCCCTGACCAATTTTACTTTCCCTGACTTTTCCCTGACCTGTAGCAACTCTATAATTTGACGTGTAATTAATATTTCTAATATGAAATTCATATCATGATAAACCAAGAAAAAATGAAATTGCATTTATGTATTTATTACAAAGTTTAAGAAACATACCAAATGGTCCGTGTAGGTATTTTACTTTATAACTCCTCCATGATGAACATGGTTTTAGTTTCGATATACAATAGTTTCCCAGTCTCACACCTTTCGGGGGCCATTCAACTGTCAACTTGTCATCAGAGAGCCAAGTACTTGGTACTGTGGCACACCCATCCTCAAATACAGCAGCATACCATGAAATTGCCTAGAAATTAAAATTAAAGAGATATTAAATGAGTAATTTTAAAAACATTATTTTAGATTTATTATTACTTTATTATTAGTTTATAATTAGAACGCTTTCAGCAAACTTGCTGAAATCTTGATGCAAAGTTGCAAAATTTTTTTGTATGCATAAAAAATTATGTTTTTTTTTACTCTTTTTTTCAAATATTTTTAATTTTATTGAATTTAAAAAAGGTACAAAAACCAGAATTTTTTATGAATATATATAAAAAATTTGCAACTTTGCATCAAGATTGCAGCAAGTTTGCTGAAAGCGTTCCACAAACTCGCGACAAGCTTTCGACAAATTTGCGACAAGCTTGCTGTGCAAACTTTCCACAAACTTACTGCAGCCCAGACATTTCAAGCTTGCTGCAAACTTGCAGAAAGCTTGCACTGCAATCTTGTAAAACTTGCAGTGCAAGTTTGCTGCAAGTTTGCGTGCTATCTGGGTTATGAATCCCGTTATTCTCAACAAATATGAATAGGGGAGAGTGGGGCAAAATGGGGTACCTTTTTGTAATTGGCTGTTTACAGAGAACCAAACGAATAAATCGATTCAACTAATCATCAGAATTCTTCTTTGTACTCTTAGGTTTGAGGAAATTATGATAATAGCGAAGAAAAAAATTTTTGAAAGAACTTATATCCCATTTTCTGAGAAGGTGCAAAAACAAATTACCATACAAAACATGGAATATTTTTTCAAAATTTGTTTAATTCTTGTTGTACGAGATTGTAAATACAAACAAAAAGTAAGATTCTTTATTATTATGAAAAAAACAAGCAATATTTACCAGAAATTAACAAAATAACATCGATAATGAAAAATATCGATATATCGATTGTGAAACATCGATAGCATAATACTCCGAAACAAAAATATTGACTTTTCTGCGGAAAGTTGTTAAATATGCATAATATAATGTTTTTACGTAGTTCAATGAATATTAAATACCACCCGGCATGGCCCAACACATAAGTACCCCATTTTGCCCCACACTGCATATTACAACAAAACGTAATGTTTACAAATTGTTGTAAACAATTTAACAATCTATCCTATTGTAAATTATTCTAGAATAAGTGCCGAAAAAGATCCCACAATTTCCAAATTATATAAATTATCCCAAAAAGTTTTATAAGCACTTTAATTTTGAAAAAAATCGATATTTTTTTCGCTCAAAACTTTAAAGTTGTATAACTTTAAAAAAAAAATTTTTTTCATATTGTCCTCATAATTAATAACATTTTCTTATCAAAATGAATGATATATATCGAGGATAAAAAAATTAAATGTACCCATCATGGAGAAACAGAGGTACCCCATTTTGCCCCACTCTCCCCTACTATTTAACACAGTTTACCGCTTTCGCTTGAATGCGACTTAATACACCAAAAGTATCAAAAAAACGGTAAATACTTTTTAATGCGAGAATTTGCATTACTTTGATCAGAAAACGGGATTAAATCGCATTCAAACTGACAATACATTTTAATACTTTTCAATGCGACTTTTTTTGGAGGGTAAATAAAGATGATAAAATGTACTAAATTATACTACAAACTGTTAAAAAATTTGAAAAAAATTAAAAAGAATTTTTATATTGAAGAGTATTTTTTATTTTTGAAAATAAAAAGATTTTTTAGGTAATTTTAGGGTATATTATTATATTAAAAATATATAAGAATGATTAAATCATAATGAGACTAATATAAAAATTAATATGTATTCTAGAAACTTTTATTAAAACAGGGTGTCTACTCAAAATATGACTTAAAATTTCAGGACATTCGAGGAAAGATTTCTTATTTTTCCAGGACATTTATAAGTGTAACAGGGTTGCCACAAGTCAGGGAAGTTATGGAATTCAGGGAAAAGTCATATCAGGGATTTTTACTAAAAATTTATAGGAAAATTCTGAATTTTCGTGTCTTTTTGTTTGCCTTATAAACTATGAAATTGACAAGAATTCTAATACAAACCCTTCAATTTTTTCTATTTTTGACAATAATTTATTTTTTAATAACTTCGTATCAATTCAATTATTTAAAATTTTTAAATGAAGTTTCTCGAAAGAATTCAAATATATAAAGAAAATTTTAAAAAATAGTCTGAAAAATTCAATTTTTCCAGAAATTTTAAATAAAATTCTTCCAATAATTATATTATTTGAAAAAATGTTGATAACATTCTCTGCAAGATTTAGTTCATTAAATTGCAATTTTTATACAATTTTCCTATACAATTCAATTGTTTTCAATACATTTCTTCTTAAGAATTAAATTATTTTTACAAATAACACATTTCTTATGGAAATTGAATTATTTAAAAGAATTTGAATAAAATTCTTCTAAGCCCTTCAATTATTTAAGAAATTTCAATAAAATTCTTCCCAAGAATTTAATTTTTTTTTAAAATAAACATTTTCACAGGAATTCAATTATTAAAAATTTTTTTTTTAAATTCTTTGTCAGATTTCAATTATTTTCAATTTTTTAATGAAATTTCTAGATAGAATTTCATAATTTTTTAAAAGTTTTAAACATTCTGAAAAATTTAATTATTTAAAAAAATTTTAATAAAATTCTTAACAAGAAATTAATTATTTTCATAAATAATAATATTTTTCTCTGGAATTCAATTATTTTTACAAATAAAATTCTTCACAGGAATTCAATTCTTTAAACAGATTTTTAATAAAATTCGTTGCAAGAATTCAACTATTTTCATAAATGACAAAAGTTATTGCAGAATTTCAATTTATAGTTACAATATTCTTATGAAATAAAATCATGATTTTATTACTTTGTAATCTTAAATTTATAATAAAACATGTGAAAATCGATCACTCCGAGTCGAAGACTCGGATCGATCGATTTCTTCACGTCCTATTATAATATTCTCATACTTTATTGAATTTGAGAATCATAATTCCTATAGAAAAATAATAATGAATAAATATTTATTTAAAAAAGAAGTTATTAATGTTCTTCAGGGTCAGGCAAAAAGTGAAAATTTTGTCTGGAAATTAGGGATAAACAAAACAAACAAAACTTACTTGAACAAAAATATTTATATTTTATTATAAAAAAAATTAAAAATCAATATTGTAGATACCAGTTTCTTTAATCAAATAACAAATTAAAATTATTTTTTGATGGATCAAAAAAATTATTTTTTTAAATTTGAGTAAAATTTCTAAATTATTGAATATTGATAAGCAAAATATGAAAAATCGTAATATGGAAATTTCAAGGACAAATTTTCAAAATCCAGGACATTTCAGAACATTTTTTCAAATTCCAGGACATTTTTAGGAATTCCAGGACTTCAAGGACCAGTAGACACCCTGTTAGAATCAATGGTTCTTATGGTTTGTAATTAATTTACTGGATTAGTTTACATAGCGAAAGGAGTTTGGATAAATTTTGAGGTTTTATAAATTTTGCTAAAGGTTTCATTAAAAATAGCAGAAATAGATTTTTCTTCAATTTCAAAATTTTTGTAAAACATAATACAGATATTCAAAATATTTAAATGTCATAAGAAGAAGATAAATTATGTGAAGAAAGTTAATATGAAAAATTCGAAAGCTTAATGTTAAGATGAAGATTTAATGTTTTAAACGCCCTTGAGAAAAAAGCTCATGCTATTTTAAAAAATAGATAACTTTCAAACTTACGTTTTGCTGTTATGAATGAGAGACAACTCTGTCATTTGTTGCCAAAGGTTAATATGCTTTATTTGTCGCATGTCGTTGAGTGAAGAAGTGGTATAAGGTAGTATTGATCCTTCAATGTGAGAACTACAGCTTTTTTACTTATTTTATTTACTGGTAAAATATTAATATCTGAAAATCCTGCAGCAACATGAAGGCCTAATTCCTGAGAATTTCCAGGGTAATTTGGAAAACACTTTAATCCTGAAAATGCTTTTCCAATTATTGCAGGTTTACCATCTTCAATTGTTATATGTTCGATAAAAATTATACTGCCATCGTTCAAGTAGCAACAATTGTCGGGATATTTTTCCAGAAGTTTGAAATCTCGAAAGTGGATTCCTCGAAATGCTCTTGAACAATTAAAGGGTAAATCAGCTTCATAAGGATGAACAAATTGAGGATATTTTTGAATAGCACTTTTTTCTGGATAAAGTGAGCTTGAAAACTGAGATCTTACAACAAATCCGCGGAATAATTGTGGTAATGGATCTTTCGGCCTACGTATCATTTTCAGCAAAGTTCGCATATAATTCTCGAATGGATAAGCCGTTACGTTATCGAGAATTCCGTGCAGTAATGTTTGCTCAGGTAAATGTAAAAGACAATGAAATGTGAAAACTAAATTGTCTTCTCCGTAGAGAACTTTGAATGTGTCTATGTACCATTTTATTAAATCCTTGGCACATGAGTTATTCTCCTTGTATTGTTTTTCATTGCTTAAAATTGTTAGAGCAGCATGTAAAGAATTAAAATGCATCACATAATCTTCGGGCCAAAAAACATTAAAAACGGCAGGAGCCAAGTAGTAAAAAAAGAGGCGACATTCAACGGCTTTAAATCTGTCGACTTCATCAAGTCCTCGAGGTTTGCGTACAAATTCGCAAGGAATACAAGATTTAAGGCTGTTCATAAGCTCTGACATTTCATTATTTGTTTACAACTTAATTTTATGTTTTTTACTTTACCACTTACTAATATCTTTAATATTTTTTTCATGAAACCTAAATCGCGTAAATGCATAACATCGAGTGGAAATTGATCGATCATATTTAATCCAATTTTTTCAAATGGCGAATCTCTAATGTGATGGTCTTCATCCAATCGTAAAGCAAAAGACTCGTTCGTTCTTAAACAACTGTTTGTGCTCAAAAAACACATTCTGTGATTAATATAATCTCCCTCGTCAATGCATCTAGGACAACCGCAATGTCCATTATGAGATTTTGTTCCTGTGATCATACATCTGGCTGGACTATCGCATATTACTAAGTGAATGCAAATTTTAATTCTTTTTTCATTATACACGAAACCTTCTTCTCTGAGAGTCTTGTACTCTTCAATAAATTGGCTAAGAAAATCTTCTATTGAATTTGGTTTTTCATATCCGTGATAGGCTCCAATCAGAAACACTTCCGGATAAGACCTTCCTGAAATTTTTCCCAAGATTGGCCAGAGTTGACTTCTTGAACTTTTGCAAAGCGGTAAGCCATCAATGTTTATGTCTACAAAAATTCGATCACCGATTTTTTCATCTGGCATTTTCTTTAATACATCTGTAACTGCTCGCTCCAGGCCATAATGTAGATACGATCCTGAACCACAAGGAGCAATATTCGACGATTTCCTTGGTACACCTAACAGAGTTCTAGCGTCTTTTGGTAGATCATTATGGCCTTCACTTTGAAAAATAACAAGGATTTCATTTATTGACTTCCTGTTTTTGTAATTTCGCAGTGCCCATGTGGCAACCTTTTCCCACAGCGTTACAGGTTCATTTTCTCTTTTCTCTTCTTCGTCAGATAAGTAATAGTCGAATTTTTCCCAAAACTCAATTTCGTCCTGTTCCTCACACTTCATTTTTACAATATCAGGATTTGAAAGATCTTGTGTATCAGCAGAAACGACGTCCATGCCACTTTCTTTGAAAACCGGTTGAACTTCATCGATGTAAGGATTTACGTTTATATTATGTGTTTCATTTTCCGAATCTTTCGATTCTTCTTGTTCACGAAATGAAGATAACAGAAGTTGAAGATCCTGCTGACGCTGATTTTCAAGACGACGTAATTGTTGTCGACGAGACAAGTCATTATAATTTTTGCGGTATGCGTACTGAAAGAGTGAATAAATGTTGAAAAACACTTTATTTTCTAAGCGAATTTTAAAAATATAGAAGATTTTTAAACTTCTATCTACCTTTAAGGTACTTGCACACCATGGCTGCTGCCTGCGCTGGCAGTTGAGATTCAACGAGAATGAGGAGCATTATAAATAACATTTGACCGAATTGTTATCTTCCCAAACTGCATTTAGCCGTACTGTTATTTTAACGAAATGTACACTATCGTACGTGAGTATCAGGACACGCCCCTTTTTTTCATGAGTGGAAAAATGCTTAAAACGTAGAAAATAAGAATGACAAAAATTTTTCGTATTCTTTTTCCTGAAAGCTAATGAAATTATGAAAAGACTGACACTTGATCGAAGAATTTTCGTTGACTATTCTGTCAGATACAGAAAAAATACTGGATTTTGCATGCTTTTCGTAATTTTTTAATTTCTCGAAAACTAATTAACTTTTTTGGTCTTATTTCAATCTCTATTTAATGTAGAATATAAATTAATTAATAGTATTGTGATATAAATTTTTCCAAAAAAATTTTAAAATGTGGAAGTCGGATAAAAAAATTTTGAAAAACAGATTGACACTTTTTCAACAAAAAAATTTTTTTAAAATTAAATAATTAAGTAATGTTTTTTTTTAATTATTAAGGTTTTTTAAATTTTAGTATATCTATTAAATAATAGTATATTAAGCAACAAGAGGAGAAAGGCAGCCATTTCTTTACGGTGATTTTTGTGACACGAGTGGAGGTCGAGGGCGCCGTAGGCGCCCCGAGACCGGAACGAGTGTCACAAAAATCATCGTAAAGAAATTGGCTGCCTTTATTCTCGTGTTACTTACGATATTTTTTATTCCTAATGCACAAAAGCGGCGATTTCAGATAGCAGACGACAGGGAGTAAAAGTCATTCACTTGTTCGATTTGTATGAAAATGGCGGCCGATTTCTCCCTTGGGCAAGAAAAATGCATGTGAAAAGCTAATTTTCTTGCCCTTGGGAGAACACGGCCGCCATTTTCATACGATCGAAGAAATGAATGACTTTCCTCCCTGTCGACTGCTATCAGAAAGCGCCGTTTTTGTGCATGTGGGATAAAAACCTATTTTACATTGACCTTTTTGACACTTTAATATTCATGATAATTTTTTGAAATTTTTTAATCCTACTTTTAATGTTTCACATTTTTTTGGAAACATTTATTTCACAATACCAGTTAATAAATTAGATTCTGCAATAAATAGAGATTAAAACAAGACCAAGAGTGCTAATAAAAGTTAATTAGTTTTCGAGAAATTAAAAAATTACAAAAGGTATGCAAAATCCAGTATTTTGTCTGTAGTATCTGACAGAATACATATGTATACATATGTAGATATACTATAACAATTTTCACAAAAGTGACAATTCGCAAAACCGACAATTCAGGAAAGTGAAAATTCTAAAAAATGTCAATTCGTAAAAATATTTCGTAAAAATAAATGTTCGAAAAAGTTAAAATTTGTAAAATTGACAATTCGCTAAAGTAGAATGGCCGCAAAAATTTTATTTTAAGAATTTCGTGACTAATTTTTTATTTTCCCTGACTTTGAAATTTTTTAATTATTTAATATTCTACGTTGCTGATTGAAATGTTTATAATGCTCTTTTTAAGTAACAATTGAGGCCTTCGATTGAATAACTCACCCGACGCTTGGAGGAACGCGCAACTGCCAGTCAGTGAGCAGTGAGCGCCTCTGGGCCACTCACTTTTTTATTTATAAAGAAAAAAAATTAAAAATTGTTTATTATAATGAACTATATTACAAAAACGTCTGTAAAATACACAGAGAAAAGCGAGTGTTGTTTTTGATGCGGGTAAATTTTGGTAGGGTAATTTTAGTGAGGATAAATTTTCTATAATAGAAAATTTACCTTATTTTCAGTGTTAAAATAACACTTCCGAGCTAAAGTTTGATGCAGACACTTTTAACACCGAATTCAGTGTTAAAATAACACTCACTTTTTTCTGTGTAGTAATTCGTAAAAATGACATTTTGCAAGAGTGAAAATTCGTAAAAATTGTTTCGATAAAATAACAATTCACATCAATGAAAATTCGTAAGCATAACAATTCGCGAAAATGACGATTCGGAAAATGACAATTTGTTAAAATAGCAGTTCGTCAACAATTAAATGTCTTGTGACCGAAAAGTAATTATTTTAGGTTCTAGTAACACGTTCCAATGTTCCCTGAGTATAATTCTCCAGTCAGTTGTCTACATCTCGTCAAAAAATAAAAAAAAATCTCCACTAACTAGCAAAAATGCTTTTTTTACAAACTATAGTACAGAATTTATTTTCATTTTATTGTACCACTATTCAAGAATACAAATGTAAAATATTGGTTAAAAATTACAAGAACTACAGCTTTTTAAAAAATTTAATTTTTTTCGTTTTTCTGAAAAATTGGCTACTTTTAGCATTTTTTTCTATAGTAAAATATTTATAATGAAACTTTTCAATTATAGAAACTGATTCTTCAATATTTAAAGAATATTAAACAATTTTTTTAATGTAATTTTAATGATAAGTTTTTAAATGATATAGTTTTGAAAAGTGAACAGGGTCATATTAATCCTAGAGTGTGCTTCTTGTTCAAAAAAAGAGGTGTGTGCTCCGAGAATTAAATGCTTTTTCTCCCTTACGTAGCATCACAGTTGACTGCGCCGACAGTAGCCGAACTGTGCAAGTACTTTAATTTACTTTATTCTATAAGCGACTTCTATTCTATCCATCTATCTTTATAGTACGAAATAGTTTATTCACACTTCTGGATTATTATATTGAAAGAATGAGAATTTATCATTTCTTTCATGAATTGAAAAATATATGATCTTTGAAATATTCCTTTTAACCTTTTCGTATTCCCGCGAAACCCATGCAGCGATTCGATTTTATTGAAACTTGTTAACCCTCTGCCTACTCATGTGACCGTTATCGTCTAAAATCGTCTATTTGGACGTCTGGTGGGGACTATGGGAATTACATTCAAAAGTGCTAGAGTGGGGATAAGTCAGCGTAGGCAGAGGGTTAAGGTACTGCCACAGCTCTTGTTAAAAGCTGCCTGCGCAGGCAGCTGTTCTCCATTTATGCGGAAGATTTAAATTAATAGTAAAATTAAATTAGTAATTTTTTATTTTTAATTGTAATAATTAAATTAAATTGAAAATATTAATAAAAATTATAATAATAATAATTATTTTTTATCCATTTTTATTAAATAATAATTTTCATTAAAAAAAATATTAATTTAAATCTTCCGCCTAAATGAGGCCGACTGCCTGCGCAGGCAGATCTCGATAAAGAGCTGTGGTAGTATTAATAAAATGTAGCACATTTGTGGCAAGAAAACCTTACTTAGACTACACTGCTAAAGGGTTAATAATTTTTTAAAATTTCAATTGTAATCTTTCCTGAATTTTTAAGTTTATTAAGGTATAATATTTTCAAAAAATTATAATAAACAGCATTTTTACAATTAATTTTTTAAAACTATTTTTGAAAGATAATAGTTTTTTAAGTATATACAATTCAAAAGTTTCCAAGCAATTGAAATTTGATAAAATCTTTTAAAAATAACTAAACTTTTGAAAAATATAAAAAAAACCATTTTCGATTAAAACTAATAAATACCTTCTCATTTGATGAGAAGTAATGATCAAATTTTTAGAAGAATTTTAATTATAAATATGACCATAATTTTAAAAATATTTTACAGTAATTTTTCGAAAATAATTG